AAAAAGTGCCCACTGTGCGAATATACCTGAGTACATTTTTAAGTACTCGTAAAAAAACGTTCCGAGTAAGAGTACTGAAAATTTTTTTCTCAGTATGCTCGTACTCGTCCATCTCTGGTGTTTTGGAGCAAAAGATTACGGCACCACGAGCTCTTCAACTGTTTTCGTGTTATCTTAGGGGTACCCCTCCCCTCTTTTCGGGGCAACCTGATTGACCGACTGAAATTGCTGAAGACCGGGCAGAACGGCCGGAACCCCACCCGAACTTCTTGTAAGCCCATCTAGTTGTTTTGGAAAATATTGTTCCGTTGCTGAGAAAATTAATTTTCTTGAAACATGTAGCAAAAAACAAGAAAACACACTTGTATTTTGCAGTTTTCACTGCCAAATTATCATTTTTTGCAAAAACAATGTCATATTTGGAATCAGCATCGAAAGCTGACTTGATTGATGTGTGTCTTAGGATTTTGGGGCAACTTTCATTTTTTTCGAACTTTTCCGGTTGAAAACTTTCATTTCTTCTATCAGAGAATGTGTAAGAAAAATTTTGCATCTACAGAAAATGAGAGAAAAGTTTATGAGACTAGAAACTTGAGCTTTTTAAGGTTTTGAAGGAAAAACTTCAAAAATTCATAACTTCTTGTAAAAAGGTCGTGGAGTACTGGGAGTGATCTTATTTTGTAGCCCACACTTTCCTCTACATTAAGCTATGCTCAGCTCAAAATCCGAAGTGTTTACTAGAAAGAGGGCGGGGGATATCTTTAAGAGCTCTTCTTTTTGATTGTGGCCAACTGTTGACTTTTACAAACCGAAATAAAAATTGTTGCACTAACTTTGTTGTTTCCTAACGAAAAGTGTTTGAAGTAGTTGAAAGAACTCTGTGCATTGAAGAGAAGTCTATAAAGCTGGTCTATACTCAGTTATCTGACGGACGCTGATACTAACCTTTATTAGAGCCTTAATCGAAGTTCGTGAACCGTGGAAAACGAGGGGCGGATCATTTTGATTAACACATAGAGTAAGATTTTTTTTTACATAATCCCGTGGATTTTCTTCGATCATTACCTACATGCAATTGCTCGTATTTTATATTGTTGTTGAATAACATTAATTGATGATTCAATTAAAACTCGTTATTAAAATTTGTTTACTTCTTATTCTCTTATTATGTGCGCTCTTTTTTATGCAACAGAATAAGTTTTACAAGAATCGGAACAAAGATAAATCATATTCTTATGTTTCAATTGAACCAAAAAAAACAAAATAGAATTAATGAATGTACGTTTGATCATATTGATGTATGTCAAACGATTGAAAATCGTACATTATTATTTGTAATGAATGGTCTAAATGGATACGCTAGTGAATTCAATAATTTAGTAACTGCATTTGCATATAGCATAGCAACACGAAGACGATTTTTATTAGACGTACGAAATTGGAATTATGGAAATTTTAATGATTATTTTAATATGAGATCAATGAATTTAACACTATTCACAAATAATTCAAAAAGAAAAATTATGACGGGTAATGAAAATGAAAATCATCATTTACACTTAGAAATAACCAGACAACCAACCGGTCTATTTTCACAATTGTGGCAAGCAGCTAGAAGGTAAGAGAAGAAAGATTAAATTCTGAATGTTGTGTAACGATTAAGTTTGTCTTTGGACATCTAGGGTGTAGAGGATTAAGCTAAATCATTGTTTTCAGCTCTTTATGAGTTTACGCCTTATCTTAAACATAATAATGTCTAACAGTGTGAAACATGTTTCTCTTTATCCTGTGCGATAAGTTAATAATCTTTTGATGTTTTATTTTACTCAAAAGTCAGACAGAAACAAGGAAAAGAACAAACAAAATAACGAAAATATGCCTGTTTATATAGAACTAAACGAAATCTCTCACTGAGTCATGGATAGGCATGCAACGGTAACGATAATTTATCGGTTTATCGTTATCGTTTTATCGTATCTTACCGATTATCGGTTAACCGACTATCGCTTCTTACCGATTGTCGTTATCATAATTATTGCGTCTTACCGATAAAACCGATAAGTTTCTGACGTTTGCTAAGCAAAATCAAAATAGAAAAAGTGAGTTTGTAGCAAGGATAAACTCATCATCCTTTTTTTTCCTTTCTTTCTTATACCAGAGAACTAGCAAATGAGAGATACCCCTTCTTGCATATGCAGGTGTATATATATATGACTCTTGTTCAATTTATTCTTCATGACTCAGTCGGTTATGATTCCA